AAAATGCTTATAAAAAAAAATTGTGCCTATGTATTTTTAATATTTTTCAACTGATATTGTAACAATATATCAGGAGCCTTGTATTAAATTTTTACACTTTTTGGCCCAACAGATAAAACTTAATTGATATTTATAGAAAAAAAAAACTAAAAAAATTGAAAACTGAAAATGTCCGTAAACGGCTCAAAAAGAGTCAAAATATTTTCAAAATTGTATGGTGTATAGGAAATGCTAATATAAACATTCAGTGAAATTTTCATGTATCTACAGTAATTCGTTTTTTAATTACAACAAAAAAAGGAAATTGCCACATGAGAAATCGAGTGAATATCCAATGTTGTAAAAATTTGAATTTCAAACGCTCATAAAAATTTAATTTGACTTTCTGGTAGAGATTTTTTTATTGATAAAGGTAGACAATCTTATGAGTAATCTTTTATTAGATTTTCAAATCTTAGATTTAAAAAGAAAAATTTTTACGAATTCTTAACTCAAAATAATTTGCTAATTTTCGTGATTTTTCCATATTTTGTCAATTTTTGAACTTTAAATGCTTATAAAAAAAAATTGTGACTAAGGATTTTTAATATTTTTCATCTGCCTTTGAAACAATATATTAGGAGCCTTCTATTAAATTTTCAAGCTTTCGCAACCAACAAATAAAATTGTATTGATATTTCTAGAAAAAAAACTAAAAAAAAACTAAAAATGAAAATGTCCCTAAACTGTTCAAAATAAATCAAAATATTTTGAAAATTTTATCGTGTATAGAAGATGCAAATATAAACAACCAGTGAAAATTGCATGTACCTACGGTCATTTGTTTTAAAGTTACACCAAAAACCAAATTCAATTTTCTGAAAAATCGATTTTGCGTAAAAATTCCCGTTTTTCCTTAATTTTTCTTTTGTTTTTCCCGGCGCTCTTGAAAACTACTGACCTCCCCAATGCACCAACGATATTCACTTTCCAATCGAACAAGATACTGAAGTCGAAAATCGAAGCATTATTTCGACTACTTATCGTGTACACAGACACAAAAAAAATAAATAAAAAAATAAAAAAAAAAACACACATCATTGTAAAATCAATACATTCATCGTTTCACTCAGAATCTAAAATAAAAAAATATTATATTACAACATTCAATAATATTGTTTTAAGTTAATGATAATGATTGGAACTAAACACTAAAAATATATATGTACACAAGAAGGTAAAATATATGGTAGCATACACATACCTATTACAATTTACAATAATATAATAGCAGCATAGCTAGGTAAATCGATACCTACATTATTATGTATTTATTTATTATCATAGGCATATAGCGTGATGAATTTTAGAATTTATATAGGGGGGCTATAACCTATTATATTTTTGGTGCACAACATATATATTCTAAAAATCTAACTAAAAGAATTACAAAATGGGTGAGGGGCTAAACAAAATTCCAGGGGCTATAGCCTCCTTAGACCCCCCTCCCATTATACGCCTATGTATATTATACTTAAATATTTTAAACATGAAACTGCATGATTTTAAATATCACCATATAGATATATAATATTAAAATATCTTGTCTAATCAGCAGATTCTATAAACATAATAAAATTATTAATATAATACGAGGTTTGAATATATTTTGTCCTGCAAGACTCTCAAGATATTCGTGGCACAATCTTAGGGTTCCACCAGATGTACCTATGTGAATATTGAGAAAATTATTTTATATTATAATTGGAGAAAAAAGTTCACCTATAAATAATAGTTACTAGGTAGTATAATATTGGTATAAAATATTCGTTTTACAGACATTACAGGGGTTCCACGAAACACGAAACTTTTTCCTAGGGGTGCCGTGGTCGTAACATTTGGGAACCACTATACTATAGATAACCGTGATTCTATACCATATTATATTTATACAATATTTACTGTTTATTCTTATTTTATTTTTTAGGTACTTATCAAAACATTACCTATACCTAAGTACCTAACTATGGTTTGACAGTTAAATATCTATTTAAATTGCTATCATATGGTTGTAAATAAAGAAATAAAATGCAGCATGAAATACGAAATCAGATAATTATAAGTATACCAATTTGCCGTGCTAAGCGAAAACAGAATGACTCCATTTTTCGTAAATGTCGAGATTTTTGTCACATTAATGGTTTTATACCGATTTTTGATGTGAAAATAGAGTAGTTCCTATTAAAAGCTGTCATGAAATTCAATTTAAAATATGAAAATATGCGGAAAGTCCAATATATTTGATGCGAAAACACTGTAAATCTAAATACTAAGCAAAAACTCGAAATATCACATGAAAAAAAATGGAGTGTTACTAGCTTGACTCATGGGAAACATAAGCTCCTCTCTGACAAACGACGAGAATTGTCTCCACCGCGTAGACCCATTCAAAAACCCGGATTTTTTCTGAATTATAAACCATTATTTTCGTATTTGATATTAATATAATATATTATTATATTCATATTTTTTTTGTTTATTGTTTATTATACAATTGTTATTTCATTATAATATAGGTAATAATAGTTATAAAATATTCTTATATTTTTCCAGTAATAAAATTATTTCGTTTACACAGTAAAATGTTGTTTCTTCACTTTCTTATACTTCGTATTAAAGAGAATGTTTGTATTTATTTCTACAGAATAATGGGCCACACTGAACATGCTAGTGTTCACGTGGGAATCATGAACTTGGTATGAAGAATTAACCAACAATTTTTTACTACCTACAGGGGCGTAGGTATAGATTAATCAATGGAGGGGGAGGGGTTTTGACTTAAATTATTAGTAATAGGCTAATGTGAAAAAAATCAAATGCAAATATAAGCGTACATTAATAAAATATTTTTAATATTATTATTCATTTTATTTCTGGTCAGGTGGCACTGCTGGGAGCCTTCCTATTATGTAATTTATGTCTAATGTTCCTATGTCACCACACTTACTCATTATACCTCGTCTGTTGTATAGATTGTAAATATTCTTTTAAAATAAAAAAATAAAAAAAATATTATTATTTTAAATTAAACATTATACAAGTAAATTTAATCGTTTCCTACTTTGTATTAGTTCGTTCACAATGAGTAAAAGATCGACAATAACATCTCTATAAATATTTAGAAGAGTTAGTCCAGTTAGTCGCTCTTGACCAATAGTGTTTCGTAAATACGTCTTTAACCGCTTTAATGTAGAAAAGGAACGTTCCGCACTAACAGGAAGAGTGGCTAAAATTTTGAGAAGATTTTAAATGAGAGGGAAAACTGTTTATCACACTTTCGGGCACGCAATTTTGTAGTTAATATTTTATATATAGCTATTACAATATTGAATATAATATTAGATAATCATTATTTTTCGTAACAAACGCTTACTTGTAAAATTGTATTACAAAAATATTCATCTTGATTATAATTTAGCAATATATTAATTGTTTTCTTATGTTTAACTAAAAAGTAATTTTTGTTGCTTGTAGAATCTACATGCAATTTTCTCTTGATTATTGTTATTATACATTAACCGATTGGAATTTTTTAATGGAGGGGGGGGTTACCTACGCGGGCTACGCGGGCTACGCCCCTGACTACTTACCAAATCTCAATAAAAATAATAATACTTATGTATTGAGGTTTTTGGCTACGTGAAAGTAAAAGTTAACTGGTGTCGTGACATTTTTTCTGCCCCAAATGGCAAAGATAGTCCGAAAAAAAGAACTTAAAAAACACACACACACACACACACACACACACACTATTCATTGAACAATCAAAACAATACATTCATAGCTTCGCTCAGAATCTAAAATATTAATAATATGTATAATACATTAATGGCTATAGTTGTTGATGTATGAAACTATGAACACCACATTGTATATTTTATGTAAACCTGTAAAGTGTAAAAGCACTGGGCCGACCCATCCATCGACCCACGGGCCACGAGTGTGTCCCGAACGAATCCGCACACTTATCAATCATAATGTACACGATAATAATATATTAAACCATTCAGATTTCAAAATTATTTAAGCTAGTAAGTAGTAGTAATACATTTAAAACAATAGAAATTGTAATTAAAAATAATAATAACTTTTTAGAAGCATATTGCCTATTGGGGAGTGGAATATTTATATTAATCACACATATTTTTACCAAGTGTAATAGACAAATTCATAATTATTTATACACCTTGAATTTTAAATTAAGAAAAAATATGATTTTTTACTCCTTTTAAGAAATACACAGGCAACTAAATATGTAGCATTGCGTTTAATTCATAGTATAATAATAATTAATAATAATATTATGATCTAAGACCAGTTGCCACCTTATCAGTAACTTATCACTTATCACTAAGCTGATGAGTGATAAGTGTAAAATATACGGGGAACTGGGTTTCGGATTCGGAAATCGGAATCGGAATCAGGACAGTTATTCTGTATTTCTACGTCGGAACTCGGAAGTATCTTCAGTTTTCATTCATGATCATTATTTTCTTTGTCTATGTTGGTGATTCTTCACTTTTCACACTTTCACAGCATGCAGTGAGCGTAGATAAAATATTACTTAGTTCACACCTCAGACAAACTTTACCTCAAGTACTTCAAAGACAAAGTTTAAAAAGTGATGTCGATTATCTAATAAAATGCAACGTAGACACGTAGTATAAAATATAAACCTATTCAATTTAAAATTGAATTACTGATAAATTAATTCCAAATAATTTACCTGCATAATGCTAAACTTTGTCGAGTGGGGTGAATTGTTAATATGTTCTATTTAAAATACCATTGCTCAGTTGGCGGTATTCTTGTGTAAATAATAAATAATTATGACGGTATTATATAATTTTTAGTCACACTAAACATTTAAAAAAATATTTTCTTGGAATTCATATAGGTACCTATTTATGAAAGATAAATTACTTGAAAATGCAACATTTCGGTGACACTAATAAACTAAAATGAAGAAAAATTTCTTGAAAAGTAGCGTTGAAAACGCATCGCTCAACATACTCTTGCAAGTTAGTTTACATGTTTTGTCCATTTTTTTTATACTCAAAATACTATTCACTGTTATATTGGTTGTTTTTTAATAATTTAAGGTTGCATTTCGATGCTTGACATTTGTTATAAACGCTTTTGTTTTGCGACATGTCTCTCAAAATGAATTGGGAGTTACAAATGTCCGTTTATTATTACTCGAGTCAACAATTTTGTTTCTGAGCAGAGAAGCATTTCGTCGTGCTTGTTTGACAGATACCTTGCATCACCATTGGCTCAAGGTCATCAATCTCATTTGGTTCTCGTATGGCGTTATCCGGCTTTAAAAATTTGAATAATATATATATATAAATATTTTATTCTTTTTAGTGTACCATTATGTGCAGCTATTTGTGGAATTTGCGGTTATATTTGGCTTCACTTGCTAAGCCAACCTGATATTACTGTTACTACATATTATGAATTTGGTGTATGGTCAATACTTATAAGTTGTATCATCGAACTATGCTGCGAACAGTTATATATTGTAGCTCAAGCATTCTTATTTGTCAAGTTGCAGGTAATTAAAAATATTTTTTGTATATATTATGTGGGTATGTAATAGATACATTACATATTATACAGAATATTAAAAAAGGTCCTTTTGAGCTATACTGCAAACAATGGATTCTTTTTTTTTTTTGTGAATAATACTGAACAGATTTTAGGTTGTATTAGAAATAATAAACGTTGCTGTTCGCACAATCGTGTACACTACAATGGTGTTGTATTGGAATGGTCAAAATGCTGTACTAGCGTTTTCATTCGCACAACTTGCGTCAGTCATAGCATACACCATGTCATTTTACATATACTTTTGGTATTATACAAAAAAAGACAAAAAAGATTTTCCTTTCAAAACCATGTGGGAATTTTTTCCAAATTTTACTGGAAGAGTAAGTTTGTATACATTTGACTAAATGTCCAAATCAACATTTGATAGTAAATTATAAATTGATTTTAGAAATTGTCGGAATGTATGGATTTTACTCTACTTAAGTTATTGTGGAGTTTCTTGAAACAAGGATTTATGAAACAACTATTGACTGACGGTGAACGTTATGTAATGACATTTTTTAATACACTAAAATTTGATCAACAAGGTGTATACGATGTAGTCAACAATTTGGGATCATTAGCTGCTAGGTTTTTGTTCAAACCTGTAGAAACCGCTGCATATTTCTATTTTAGTCAACTTGTTCAAAGAGAAGTGCCAATCCAAACACAAATCAAACAGGTATACAATATGATGAATGACTTATGGTATGCAAACGTCATAATCACAATGTCTTAGGATCCTAACCGCATAAAAGAAGCAGCTAGCGTTCTGGAATGCCTGTTACGTGTTAATAGCTCTATTGGTTTAATTGCACTATCTTTTGGACAAGCATATGCTAAACTAGCATTATTTCTATACGGAGGAACAGCATTGGCTACTGGAATTGGACCAGCGCTGTTACAAATGCATTGTTTGGCCATTCTGTTTTTAGCCGTTAATGGTATCACTGAATGTTATGCGTCAGCTACCATGAATGTTTCTGAATTAAACAAGTTTGTTTGCAATTTAAGTCTAAAACATACATAATTTGTATAATATATATTTTTTTAATTTTAGATACAATGTGGAAATGGTTATATTGTCTGTGATATTTTTATTTATTTCTCTGATATTTTCTACACTTTTTGGCGGAATTGGTTTTATTTTCGCAAATTGTTGTAATTTCACTTTTAGAATCATTCAATGGTAAAAACATATTTTATGGTTACACAACAATGTTTAGTATTAATCATGTATAACTTTTCTAGCGGTCGTTACATTCTATCTCAATATAAAGGTACAAATTACAATCCACTTAATGGATTAAGGCCAAAAAAATCATTCATTTGTTGTTTAATGTTGTCAACGGTTATTACAATATATTCTGAGGTGAGTATAATTTTATTGATTAGGTACCTAACGAAAGTATAAATTTGTCTTAGGAACAGGTATATATTTTTCTTACTTATGAAAGGAAAGAAATATCTTTAATATTATCTTAAGTAAAAACTTTTGGTATGAAGATCTTAGTGTACTTAAATAAATAATACTGAATTCTTTTTTTTTTTATATTGTATATACTAATAAGATTATATTTTGTTATTACTTTTTTTCAGGCAAAATATTATGAAGAAAAAAAACTTACACATGTTATAATAGGAGGTACATTGTTTCTACTAACAACATTAGTTTGGTTGTATGAAGAAATGGCCACATTTAGGTTTTTAACTAAAGTTTATTGCTCAAAGCACAATTAAACTACTTTCTAAATAGTTTTTACAAAATTTTAAAACCTCATTAAAATTATAATTAAAATTTTTTAAACTGACATTTAAAGATCAATTAAAACTCAAAAGTATGCTTGTATCAATTTTAAAGTTTGTACACATTTCTAATCAAATTATTTATAATAAAGTAGAGGATACTTTCACATTGTTTTTAAATACAATTTTATAGTTTATATTTATAAAAAAATAAAATTCAACTATATGATGTTTATTTCTTAGATGTTAATTACAGTTAGCTGATAATCGATGTTTTTGAGTCTATATAGGACAAACAAACATTAATTTACATATAAAAAAATTGTATAAAAGTCTTTTTTTTCTGCTCTCAATGGTATATAATGTATATAAATTTAAGAAAATCGATTTTCGTGAACCAAAACAAAATTCATGTGTGATGACTGAGCCTAATATGAGTTGAAAGACGATGCTGTGAATACTCTCATAGTCTCTAGGAATATGTGTGTAAAATGAGCCAATTGGTTCAGTAGTTTCCAAGTTTGAAGTCACATATAAACATACATTCATTTTTATTATTTATAAACACTTGGTTACTTCCTATAGTATTTCATTGTCAATTTGTTAATTTTCTGAAGTTATAATAAATTATGAGTTATTTTCAATTCGGTAAACTATATTATTTTTTGACAAACATCTTTTAATCAATTGAAGCAATAACTCCAAATTTATAAATGACTTGCTGGCTATACATATTTGATGGTTTAAGAATAATACTGTTGAAGTTTTTCTAGAACATTCCCAAATATTAAAATTAATTTTGTTTATGTAAAAATTAACAATAATCAAAAAACATTACATGTGTAACAGCATCTGGAAATAGTTGTGGACGTATGCAAATTCCAGAATGCTTGTTATATATAGTATTTAATTTGCCTTTGATGGGCTTGATTTCCTGGACATGGTTAACCTGGGTTGAAGAATGTTTGATGTCATAATCTAAATTGTGTTCTTCTTCTACTAGTTCTGCGTCACTCGTAAATTTATATTCTTCAGAGATAACACTTTCTGGTTCATTTTCATATTTATCAAATTTTGCTAACGGTGCTTCTATATTAGTTACCTTCATAACCTCTTCATTGAATAATGATTTACCATAATTTGGAAAATCTTGACCAGTATTTACATGGATACAAGGCATATCCGTGTAAATATCCAACATACGACCACTTTGTTTATGCACTAAGCTGTATAAAATAATGTTTTACATTGCAAACAAGTATTTTTAATTTATTTTTACCTGGCTGCTAAATTAAATGCTTTTCGGTCTTTTCCTTTGAACAATTTGAATGTATGATTGTATCCAAAACCAGGAACAAGAGGAAAAGCTTTTTTTAATAATCTTGGAACACGCAAGTCAAGACATGTGTGATGTACATTTTTAATCAAACCAACAGGTCTTCTCTGTGGTTCTTTTATTGCCACGTATTCTTCTGCATTGACCATTATTGAATGATTCATGAGTTCAGACTCACCGGCATTCTATAATATGTTAGTTCCAGACATAAAATAATAATAAACCAGGAATAATGTTTAGTTCTTAATTGTTCTTACGTGTCCAGCTAAATTGAAGTACATATTTGAGGCCATATTTACTGGAGTTGATTTTGATGTCATACCAACATAGTTTACAACTAATTCATTTTTGCAAGTCAAACGAAATGTTGTCCGAGCTTGAAATGTTCCTGGATAGCCTTCTTCGCCATCTCTACTTGAATAAGTTAATACCAGTTCATCATCCGCCACGAACCCATCCCACATGACCTTATCAAATCCTTTTTCACCACCATTGAAGTGATGACCATCACGATTTTTGATTAGTTCATATACTTCACCATTGTCGTTTTCGAGATGACCATTACTAATATAATCTGTTACTCTGCCTAATGTACCACCAATAGAGTGTGTTTTCTCTAACCTATAGTCTGATCAACACATTGACATAATGATGACTTAAGTTTCACATATTATAATACTACTGACCTTCAATTGAGTCAAAACCAAGTAAAACATCCTCTAGTTCGCCCAGTGCATTTGGTACCCAGCAGGAAATAACGGTAGCACCATAATTAATGATTTCAACAACAACTTTTTGTTCATTCTTTAAAGTATATTTTGTCACTCGTACATTTTTTCCATTATCATCCTTTATAGAACAAAGTTTAATACTGAAATAGGTATTTGAAATAAGTCTTTACTTTTATGCATCCATAGTTGTCTACAATTATGAGATCACTATCATGAACACTTTTTTGCTGTTCTTCTGATTCATAAATTATATCATTGAATGCATCAGCACTAATTGGATTTAACAACATAGTCTCCGAAGAAAGTTTTTTAGAACCATCCATTGTTAAGCAAAAAATATTAATATTTAAAGTTTAATATTTTATTTAGTTTTGTATGTGCATAACAACATGTAGCTTAAAAACTAATATAAATATTATAAATTATTCAGTTGCTTACTATTTTAATTATTTAAGGCCAATTAAAAAAAAATTAATAATAATAACACTAGAATAACAAAAGGTTATTTACAATTTTATATAAAAAAAATCATAAGTATTAAAGTTAACATTTTATAGTTAAAGACATTAGGTAAGTTATCAAATTTTATTCGCTGTCACTCGTGTAGTCTATCTGTTGTACATCGTCAGAAAAACTATCATCTTCTGATTCTTCGTTGTACTCTGTATCGTAATCTTCTAATTCTTTTTCATGTTCATTGACTGATTCTGTACTAACATGAGCAGATGTTTCCATGAACTCAGCAAATCTAGAATATTGTTGAAAATATTTTATTCTTATATCAATTGATTTATTGAGTTGTGATTACCGTTTAGGGTCGTGTAATCTGCTCACAACCTTCCATGTATCGCAATTTGGACTTTTACAGTATTTTCGCAGTTCTTCGAGGGCTTTTGGTGTTTCAATCAAAGATTGTTGTATATACTCATCTTCAGATAACAACCGTGGTTTTGGTTTACTTTTAGGTAATAATCTATAACATAAGTAGTATTTTATTAACAAATAATTGATATTAACAGCAATAATTATTTTTAACTTACCTAAAAGGCAGTGAAAACTTTGTGTAGTAGAGTATAATACATAAAATATCAATTAAAACCATAGCTTCTAAATGAAAACTACATGATGTAACCAAAGCTAAACCAATTAACTGAAATAAATAAACAATAATAATAATATAAATGAATGTTAATGTTTTTTAATTTTCATAAAATAATATAACAGGATGATAAAAAAAAATAGGTGATGCATAAATATCATTTTTTTTATTTCTTATTTGTCCCTATTAAGAAAAATACAGGAGTTTTAAGCACCAATTTGATTTGCTACCAGAACCTACTTTGGAATATTAAGATTGAAGCACTTTTTTTAGTATAAAGTGTCCCTCAAAAATGATATTTAAAAAAACATATTGTAAAATTAAATACATTTGTTGCACAATTCAGAATATTAAATATGAATATTTGTATAGAAAGTTGTATGTTTTGTTTAATTGTTTAACTACAAATTTAATTTATAATATTAATAATATATATACAATAATTACCTGCAATGTCCATCTTATGAGGTCAATGGATCTTGGATTTGTTACTGGTCCATATCTATAGCAAACCACAAAACTGGCGAACATAGAAAAAACAATATACCCCATAATATACTTATAATATAACAGCAATATCATATTGAGATTCTCCATCAACATCTGAATAGCATAGAGACTTAACATACAGCTTGCTCCTAAATATCCAACCATCATTCTTTTCTAAAAAAAGAGTATCAACACTATGTTATATGTATTTAATATATATTAAAGAAATTATAAAATATACATACCTTAGGAATTAAACGACCGATGAGTAATATTATAATCACAAATGACGCAGTTACACCAACTGTAATTCCACATAAGTAGTAAAACAATGAATTATGGCTTAATCGAGCTGAATACCCAAATAGACAAATACCAACTATAAACATTGCTAGTCTCTTAATATCTAAAGCTGTAAAAATATAAATGCATATTTATGGTTGATGTTTGCGAACATATTATACTACTAATAGTTAATTAATACAAATATAATGTTTTATACCAATAGAGTGAATTATTATTTTAAAGTCTGCATTTGTTTTGATACTAAAACAAGATGGTTGAAATGGATCCAATTTGAAATCTTTCCGTTTCCAAACATAGGATATTATTTTGTTCAAAGATAATATAGCCTCATCAGACAGCATTTGTTCTTCGACTAAATACTGATCTGCTGCTTGATACACAATGAAGTCATCTGTTTTTTCAATTATTAAATCCACCTATACAATAAATAATATAAATAATATCCATTCATAATTTTTCAATAAATAATATATTATATTGTGCTTACCGTAATCGTTTGAAAAATATTAAGTACACTTTTATCATTCCCTGCATAGCAATAAATTGGGGGTAATGAGTATTTTCTTTCAAACAAAGAACAACAATTTTTTGTATCTTCTGCATTGACTGGATACACTAAACCTGTATACATATTGTTTAAATAATTGGTTCAAATGTAACAAATTAGTATAGACTTATATTTAATATTTATCATCATAAATTGAGTTGTTTTAAATTTCTAAATAATATGTAAATTAAAGTTTTTTTTTCCCAGTAATATTTAGGTGGTAAACAAAATGTACAATAATGAAAAATAACTTTTAAAAATTTAGTATTAATACTATAGTATTGTTTATTCATAATTTTTCCTATTAAAAAAAAAATATATAAACGTCAACCTAAGTACCTATAATGATCACATAAAACACATGCTATCCACATAGTTTAATATCTAAACATATCGATACATTGACAGATTCTTTAGTCAAAAGTCTATGAATTAGCAGCATAAGTAGAGATTGGAAGCTACTAGACTGAGACTTAGACCCAGTCAAATAATTTAATTAAGCTACTGCATTAAAATATGACTTAAGACGGTAAATTTGTAAATCATGAAATTAGTTTTAATTATTTTTTCCGTAACTCCATAGCTAAAGCTATAGACTTGACATTTTAACATTTGTCAACTTATGTCTTTAAAAGTAATGACTAATGAAAATACAAACATTAAAGGAGTGTAAAAAATAATTGTTCGAGCAATTATTTACGAAACTTAAAAAATAGATCGAGAACTATATTATGGTGAAAAGAAATTTTTTTTAGATTTCATTGCATTTTAAATGGATAGTTCAAACGTTTAATTGAACTGGACTTTAGAAGTACCTATAGTATGGTTCTAAAATTTTAGTATGGAAAAATTGTTAATCAAACTTTTGAAATTCTAGTACATACACAGTTCAAAATTACAATTTGAACTATATCATAATTTAAGGTAGACGGTAGTTAAAAAATGTCATGTACTATATAGTTCCGTAAAATATTTAATTTTGTTCAGTTTGGTCGAATGGTAACACACTAAGACAGATTAGGAAGAAGGGACAAAGGATTTGTTTCTAAAAAACACTTAAGCCCCTCAAATACTTTACAGGATTTCATTATATGATTATCAAAGGACATTGGTAGGAAGAATTTTAATTGATCAACTGGTCTAATTCAAGATTTATATAAAGACATAGTATTACTGATTTTTGATAAATCAAAATCGGTCAATGATGAAATAACACACGATCGCTTGAAAAAATTAGGGGAAAAATATTTAAATAATCTGATTTATGAAGACGAAACTTCTTGGGCATATTCTTAATTATTTTCATAAACCATTCATAAACGTTTACTATTGATTATTTCTAAGTACGTATTGTATTTGATTACATTCTATTATAAACGAATACTCAATTTAAAAATCATGAAAAAACGTTTTATTTAAAGTATTAATCTTGGATATGCATGTAGAATGTAGATAGCCTACAGCCGTTATCTAGTGATAGTATAGAATATAGATAAAATAAATCAAAAAAATTTGCAATGTAAATATATTATGCAACGATTATTATATAATACTCCACTGAAGTACCTAAAATATTTAATTATAAATCAATATACTTACTATTCGGTTGTGAGTGAATTATAGATACGAATGTGAGAAATAAAAGGCCAGTCTTAAATGTCATCATTTTAAAATATGCTGTAGGTAGTTACAGACGGTAAAAACTTAATAATATTCTTGTCAATTGTCAGATAAAAAAGAATCGAAAGTTACATGTCGTCACAAAGTATAAATAGCCCAATAAAAATAGTAACATTGTTACAAGACAAAAGTTAAGAGTAATTTTTCTGTTTGCTGAATTTAGCTATATTTTTATCATGACAAAATTACAAATGTTATGGATTTTACTTTTTACTTCTCAAATAACGAACTTTAAGATTTAAAACCATAACCTATATTATTACAATTTCATGGCATAAATAATGCCTTATCAAGATTTGTGTACTTGATAAATGATAGATGATGTATGATAATTGATAATGATAATTTCTGTAAAATTCAAAATTCAAATTCTTAATAATTTGTTATGTTAACTTTGTTAAAATGCCAGTGGATTTACATAGGCTCATCCAAGGATGGTTGGAATTAGAAAGTGATCCTGGTTTGTTTACTTTGCTTTTAGAAGATTTTGGAGTGAAAGGAGTTCAGCTTGAAGAGATTTATGACCTTCAGAAACCATTGGACGGTCCAGTTTATGGTTTTATATTTTTGTTCCGATGGATTGAGGAGCGTCGTAGCCGCAGAAAAATTGTAGACCAAACGGACATATTTGTCAAAGATGACGACGCCATTAACAGTATATTTTTTGCACAGCAAATGATACCTAATAGTTGCGCTACTCATGCCCTGCTGTCCGTTTTGCTTAACTGCTCAGATATACATCTAGGTGAGACATTGGGACATCTTAAGGAACACACTCGGGGTATGAATCCAGAAAATAAAGGATGGGCTATTGGAAACACTCCTGAATTAGCACGGGCACACAATTCACACGCCATGCCAAAAAGTAGACCACGTATGGATAAAACACCGGGATTAACAACTGGACGGTTTACCGGTGAAGCATATCACTTTGTCAGTTATGTACCCATAAATGGTCATTTATATGAATTGGATGGATTAAAACCATATCCCATGGACCATGGGCCTTGGGCTGAAGATGAAGATTGGACTGAAAAGTTTAGAAGAGTGATAAGTGATCGACTCGGAGCAGCAGCTGAGTATAGTGATATACGATTCAATCTGATGGCTGTTGTTCCAGACAAACGATTAGCTATCACCCACAAATTAAATATGCTCAAAACAAATAGACGAATTGTATTAGAAGCTTTACAACAACTTGTACTAGTAGATGATTTTGAAAAAAAAAGAAAAATCAATGATAATGATCAATCGCCAAAATGTGTAAAAAAAGACATTTCACCCATTCCTGGTACATCAAAAGACTATAATGAAGAAAAGGTGATATGATTTGTTTCAATGTTCAAAAAAAAAAAAAAACAACCCTTTTAGTATGCATAATTTAATTTACATATACAGAATAATCTATTTGTTGATGTGATGTCAATTAAATTTTCATAAAAATGTTTGATACATTATAATTATTATCTTAAATATAGCCTTCAGGGTGACTTATTTTTGTTCAAAGATCTAACAGTCATATTAAATTAAACTGAAAAATTTCTATTTTAAAGCCAGTATAACGTATTGTATATTAATTGTATAACTATAATTTGCATAATAATATATTCATATGATATAACTATATAACAGAAGTAAAACAAAGAAACACAATACCTACCAAACATTTATAAACATAAAAGTTATTATGCGGTAAGTTAAAGCCATTAAAAAAATTTTAATTCAGTATCTCAATCAAATTTTACCTCAAACGCTACATTTTCTAAAGATATCTAACGCTACTGAAACATTAATTGCCTTCAAAATTAATTGTTCAATATGTTGCCAAGTCAGCTTTATTTTCATTAAAAATCTATAATAAAATTTAAATTATATTTAAAGTTAATTTATATAAATATTTTTGTTTCTTCATCTAATATTTGATTTTTATTATTTTTCAGACGTGTCCAGAATCAGATAATATTGTAGTAATCCGTGTACAATCATCAAGTGGTGGGTCAGAAGGTGACGGAAATCCAAAAGACATAAAAAGTGTATGTCTAGAAGCAGGAGCTATGCCTAAAGGATGGGAAACACCTTCAAGTCATTCTTCCGATAAAGAAGATAATAATGATCAAAAATTGGAAAATAATATAAAACCCAATCATACATTTTCTCCTAAAGACTTATTGGCTCTAGTAAAAAATTTAGAACTTGAAATAAACATGAGTGAAGGTAATTTAATTTAAAATAATAAAATATTCACCAAGTTATATATTTATTTAATATTTTAGGTATCTTACGAGAGGAGAATGAAAAACGTAATAAATATAAAATTGATGATTGTCGACGTACACACAATTATGATCAGTTTATATGCACGTTTTTAACTATGTTAGCCCAAAAAGGTATATTACCTGATTTAGTTCAACAACATTTGGGGGCACAAAAAAAAAATACAAGTGCACAGCTTTCACTTTCTGTACAATCTCAATCTACAAATCAAACACAGGTGAAATCAAAATCCAATAAACCAAATTCAAAAAGTAATTCAGCTTCAACTACAACAAGGCTCAGGACAAAACGCAAGACAACTACTAAAAAAGGACGTAAATCATGACAGGTCATTATTATTACTCGAGAATATTTCACTTGAGTGCTCCGTGTATTTTTGGTGGAAGTTAATCTTTATGCCTATGGTCTTTCACCATTTATAGTTATTATAATACATCACTGCTATTAACATTGTTATCAATCTATAGTTTTTAAATATAATAAGCTATTTATAATATGTTTAATGGCTTTGTCATTAAATTAAAATGTACTAACTTATTTTACATTAGTCATAAACTCATAAATAATGTATACTTTACCTGAAAGAATTTGAGATGAGAGGCTTACTTAAAACTAATATTTGCTGTTCTTTTTGCTAAATTTGATGCAATTAACAATGAATTATCAGATTCAGTATAATTCAAACAGTTAAATAAGGATCTCACAAATCAAATAATATGAATGTTTTATTGTTGCTGTTTGAAGGTGATATTAAAATTTCATATAGTTCTTATGGTATTTTAAATTCTTTCTTCTCATAATAACAGAAACACTAGGATTTTAATTCTATAAAAGATTTAAAAGATCTCTTCTCCAAACTGTTTTATAAATGCTATAATAATTGCTATTGGTGATAATCTATTACATTCAATATAATGTCTTGCCTGCCTTTATTACATAACTCTTCTAAAATAGTGACCATCTAATTGAAAATGAATACCCACTTTATTTAATTATAATTATTTATTGATTATTACCTCTTATTTTATTTTTATATTAATTTAGAATAGTATTGATATAAATATATATATATTTATGTTAATAAATTATAATATGTATTGTAATAGTAGCACTTCTTGAAATAATTTTAACTTGTAGTATTATAGTGGTAGAACAAGGAACTGTACAGTTACTTTATCTACTTTGCTTTGCACTATTCTATTGTTTTATATTTGCACTCAAATAAATGCTTGTTAATATAAATACGTTCAGATCAATAGTAAATTAAAATGAACAATAATTGTTTATAAAATTAATAATAGTAATGTAAAAAGCATAAACCAACTAAAACTTAAAAAATTCATTAATTGTTTTTTATGAGCAGATTGATAAAAATGCTCAATTCCCCTTAAATTAAAACTGATTAATTTGACAAGACCCTTTATTTCAGAATATATTTAAATCTCAAAAAATAGAAATTTAAGTAAAACCTCATTAATCCCAGACAGCTGTTTAATAATATTTATTATTATTTATTAGTAATATCGTAAAAATTTAAAATACCTTATTAATGGAGTTCTGTAAAATATAAGGTTTGTGCAGCAGATTAATATAAATATGTGAACGTTGTCTTCCATATTTCTTCATAGTTCTGCCTTCTGCACATTATGAATATTAAAGAGGTCTGCATAAAGTAATTATTAAAGAAATTAATGTCAAACAAAGACAGCAAAGATCCTGAAGTTTTTAATTTATGTCTTTGATGTTTTTTCTTCAATTGTAAAAACATTTTAAAATACTATTTACATAGAAAATATTTTTACTCAAATTATACCATTTAGAAAGTATCACTAAAATATTTCTTGTTCATTTTTTTAAAACATTTTAATTTCATAAAAATTAAAATAATACAATTATAAGCATGAACATAGCACTTATTCTTATAAAATATTTATTTTTTAAGAGAATACTTCGCCTAAATTATTTGCTTTATGCTTTTAAAATTTAAATAATGGACAAAACTGATATTTAATTGTTTTTAAATCCTAGGGTTCTATTATTTTGAGTTAATAGCATTTGATTAAACACAATTAAAGCCTGAAATCTATGGAAATTCCAAACTTAATTAAATACATTTTTAAATATGTTCCTTTGTAGAGAAAGTGTATTAAATTGTCAATGGCATGTCCTCTTAAATGGATCACCTGTATATTATAAATGGGTCTCGAATGTTGTTGCATTTGCAACTTTTTTTCTACTATTACAATTTATTGCTAAGCATGTTTTAAATCAGTTTCACTAGTATTTTCGATATTTAAGAGCTGTTAATCATAAATTATATTTTTAATAATCAAATAGTGCATGTTAAAATATCAGGCATATCCCACCGCCTTGATAATATAATTTGTCCGCCGCTGGTTTCACGTTAGTATGAATTAAAATCTAAACAATATAAGTCCAATTTTTAGATTTTTTTGGATTTTTTTCAATTTTATAGCAATTTTGTTGAATTTACTCATTTATAAAACAATTTAAACAATTTTTCAATTTTATTAACATAATTTTAATTTGGTTTTTACTTATTGGCTCCAAATTGAAAAACATTTGAATATGAACATTTAAAACAAACAATTTTAGTCCAAATAAATTATGTTTGAGGTTGTTAGTAGTTTTGATTGATATTTATTTTCTTTGTTGAATTTAAATATTGTTTAAGAAAAAAGAAAGATGAAAATAATTGTGAAATAATAGGTATATCTCATAAAATAATAATAGAATTATAAACATTTATTACGAAACATTGTTGTTAATATTACTGCAATTTTAAATTTTGAAGTACAATTGTCGGTATTTTTTAGTGCAATACTGCAATTATTTACATAATTATACTTGAAACCTAAACAGAATTAAAATCCTAATTAGTACTTTACACATAACATACATAATTGAAGTCAGGGTGGGTACATGTAGACAATTCACAGTTTTCTCTTTATTTATTTTTCTTAATATTGGAAATATATAGTATAATATAATAGATAATAATATGAAAATAGCTGTTGTTAGTCATGACGAGGTGAGGTCTAGAATTTTTTTAATATGAGTCATTAATATCTAGATATTTGTAATTTTGGTTTGTTATTTTCATGTATTTTGATCATTTAGTATACAGGAAAACCCCCATAAATATTATTGTTAATATCCAAAAAATCCAAATATTGTAAGATTTAAGTACGAACAAAAATATTTTCAGAAACATGAAAATTACATTAATTAAAAATTACAATTACCTGTATTCCCACTTAAAAATTATACAACTCGGAGCAATTTTATGAAATAAGGCATTGTAGATAAAAATATATATTAATTATGCCAAAACAGCATAGAAAATATTCTAAATTAAAAAAAAAATATATAAAATATATTTCAATAGATGTAGACTGATTTGCTCTATAAGCTTTGTATAATATAAAATGTTGTAATTTAAAAATACTCATAAATCACTTAAAAATTAAAATATCATATAAACCCGACATCCGTAATAGATATATTCTGTATTTAAAGGGTTCTTGAGGGCGTAGCCCCCATTGGGAATTGTAGCTCACCAGAAGTTAGGTCTATCTCAAGCTGGGTCCACACAGAAATAAGAATATAAAAATAAAATAGTATTCATATTTTTAAAAACAATTTAGATAGTTTCATCTATGATGGAAAAGTTGAGTTTTTGATTTGTTTTTGGTTATTATGGACCCGGCATAAAATAAAAAAATTGAGTAGTTAGCTCCGCTGAAACATCATACAAATATACAAGCCACAAGGTATGGTGAAGCCTTAGCTTCTTGCCTTCTTCCACTTAACACATCTAATCACCCTACATTACGTCTATACAGCACCCCCAAGCTTATAATAAATAATATGTATCAACCAAATATCAGGATGACAGTTTGGGGCGATTATGTAGAAAGTATAGATTATCGTTCAATCGTTCTTGAAAAAATTTACAATTAAAAGTAAACTAATTTTAATTTGGAAAATAACTGTACTCATCGACCTTTTTTCTAGCTTATTATAAGAGTAAATTTTTATTAAATTAATACTGAGGATTTTATGATCATTAAAATTATTAAAATTTAAAAAAGCAATTCCCGCACAACATTTGTTTTGTGCATAAAATCTAGAAATTAATAATTAAGCTAATGAATTAGGTACTATCTTTTTACATAGTTAAATTCGCATTCAAAATAATTTTTTTACATTTAAATCAAAATGTATGAATTAAAAATACTAAATGAAAAAATAATATCGAATTTTTTAATACAGTCTGTATGCCACTGCACATCCAACATTTCGTATTTTATGAATGTTTACGCTTGTACTGCACACAGTTTAAGTCTCTCCCTTAAATAAATAAGTAAACCGAATTTATATAATATATTTATTGATATCTGTATCATAGTATAGTTAAAAAAAATCACTTTATACATATATTATAATATAGGTATATATACAATTATTATACATGTATTACTGTAAGTACATACTAATCTAATTAGTAATTTTTATATCCCAAAATAAGATTAGTTAGTCTTTTATATTAAGTTAATTTGTTTTGAATTAGTATTTAAATGCAAGACTAATCACAACATTTTTCGTTATGTATTAATTTAATTTAGAAAAAGAACTAAATTAAATGTAGGTATACCCTGAATCTGTAGAAATTATAAAATTCATAGTTCGCAGGTATTGTAATATATTTAGTACCTACCTAATATAATATATTACAAACATTTTTTAAATAATATTATATTGTAGCCGTATCATTATTTCTACTGCATAAATGTATATAATAAGTTGTATTATTGTATTTATTTATTTATTTTTTTTTTTTGTGTAATTTAGTATTAATCATGTTAATCATTAACATTTTAAAAGTTCCTTGATTGATCGTTGTCTTTAAATTTTACTTCGAAGCCCACATCACTATTCTGATTACGTGTATTTTCTTTTTCTGGTGTTGGCATGTTATTATTTATACTTAATGAACCACGGATTCTTTTCTTTATCGCTACCTGTGATTTTATTTTATTTTGCATAAATCTTTATTACATTTACAAATACACTATACATAAGGACGCACACACACAAACGCGCGCACACACACGCACTCACAAACACACATTACCCCCAAATGAAATAATTTGGGCCGTTAAACAAAAGTAAGAAAAACTAGTCTATAAGAGAGTAATTTACCATCTAGTGTCAAGTCAGTTGTGCGTGTAACAAGATACCTGTTAGTCTGTATCCTTGTGGAAGGTCTTCCGAATATCGTTAATTCTTTATTTCGTAAAAGAATAATTATTTTATTACACATAGTTTGCAATTTAAGAAATTACGTTTTATATTCACCAAGTAATAAGTATATTATAATAATATATTTGTCATAATTTATTATAGAATGCAATTTTAAATAGCATAAGTGTTAAATTGTTTTTTTTTCAATAAATTATTTTTAATAATAAACAAATTAATGTTTTTTTAATACCTATGTTCGTTATTTTTATATTTTTAACTTTGCTTTGATTAAATTTTGAATTCGTCCTGAAACATTGTGACTAAATATGAAAAATTATACCTTATAAGGATGAATCAACTAAACTATTTTTAATAGAAAAAAAGTGTTAAGTTCCGAGGTGTTTGAAGAGATATGATTTTCAGAATTCTGGTTTATGCTTCAAAAAATTATTTTATTCTTAAAAAGACTGTGCTTGAAAAAAACTAACTGAACTCGTAATGTGGAAGCGGGTATCCATATTCATCGTGCTGCCAATGTTAATCATGCAGATAAACAGTATTCAATGGTTGTAAGTACTAAAGTATTAATAATATTAATTTTAAAATCATTAACAATTTTATTTTCTAATTATTTAACTTGTATTAAGTTATAAATCGTTTATCTATAACTAACAAATTACCTATGTTATAAAGTTTATATTTTAGGTACCTATAGGTAAATATTATATTTAAATTATACAAATTTGAATATAAATAAATACATTATTTATTCGAATATATTTGGTAGTATGTACTGTAGTAGGTTCCGAATTTCTGAGAAATAGGTATTAACCTAATTTATTTTATGAAATCATTCGTCTATAGGGTACGTATATTTACTAAAAAAATGCGGAAATTTATATGAAATTATTATTTATATAACGTTAATTAGGTATATATAGTTATTAGAAAGTAGTTAGTAGATATTCAATTATCAAAAATAAAAATAAATTGAATTAAAAATATTTTTAAACAATATATGTCTGATATTTTAGTTAAAAGAATGCTTATACTAAAACTTAAAAATCTTCTATCTACAAATGTATATGTACATAACATTAATGTATGATTTAATTATATATTTAGGAGAATTATTAAATACGCTTAGGTCTAAAGTGTCTTGGATAAATTAAAGTTTTTAATTAAGACTTGAATATTTGGTATTTTATGTATTTTGCACGAACCTATATGATTTTAATAAAATTGTATATTATTATAAATTAAAAAACACCTTAATAATACGTATAAAATATAACGTTAAGGAAATTATAATTTTGCATGAATATATTCGGCGTTCTGTATTGTTCAATGTTCTTATATGTGTATTATAATATTTATTCTGCAATAGTAGGTATATACCAATTACAATTAACGTATATTCAAATCAAGCATTTCCATTTATCCCGTTTGTATTTTTTTTAAATATTCCTTCTTATGTCAATCTCTCTATGATCTCATTAATATGAGAACTGTTCAACTGCGTAACTACATTTTAAAACTACGCAGTTTACACCAGTCTGCATTTAAAAAATAATTAATCATAAGTATCAAATATCTATTAAATATATAGCTTAATCTGAATATCTGAAATACATTTTTAACCTCGCCAAATAAACAAACGTAATATTATAACGAAAGCCGGTTGCGATTGGATTGGCCTTATTAAATGGGCGTGAATAAATTAATTTATGATTTTTGTCAATGAAACAAAGTTAAATGTAGAATTAACTTGAAAAATAATTAATATTATTTTTTAACTGTTTTCTAGTTTTTAAATATTTATACGGTTATATAAACACGGTCTTAAATATCCATTATATGTATAGGTACATTTTGAAGGTAATTTATATTAAAATAATTGACAAACCTTTATTTGGAATCAAAACAATGAAAGCTTATTAAAGAGGAGTAATAATGGCATCAAAAATAATAAACAATACCTACTGGACGTATATTAGAATAAAATGTAAACGGAACCACCGGCCTACGTATACTTTAAAAAGGAAAAAATATATTGTAGAATATATTTTTTTCAAAATCACATTTTTAATGGATGAACTACGATTAGATTATTTTTCTGTTAACAGCCCATGCGTAGGTATTAAATAACCTACTGCTATTAATATTTGTCATCGTTAAAAGTTATATTTTGTTATAATATTATAGGTATTCACTTTTTGTTTCAATAGGTGTAACGCAATGGCATTATTAATTTAAATTTATTTACATGTCAAATACTAATGTACATTTTTTTTTTTAAATATATTTATCAAACTAGAGTGTATATTAGAGTGTTATAATTACATTGCAGTCAGCAGAGAATGGTTGTACTAATTTTTTGTTTAGGTATTACAGTTACGGGAGTAGTAGGTATACTTCCCTACTTATTATTCATTAAAGTTTATATGTATACTTATAATTGATTTGGGATGATTTAAATATTACTTTAAACTTTTGAGATTTAACAATCGAGAAAATTTGATTTTTTTATTATGTACGATGTACGATAACACAATTTAATTGGAATTTGATGTATTCTTTTATTTAGCAGCTATATTAATATCAATATTTTTGCACTCAAATATAAGGTAGTAAGGTACTTACCTATATTAAAAAGGATCGTTACCTACTGAATTACAATTGTTTAATATAATTGTACACAATAAACAGACTCGCCGTGTTTACCCGAGTCTCTATAAATTATAGCTGTATAAGAAAAAACGGGAAAATAATTGCTAGGTAGGTATTTAATTAAAATCTCAATAAATGTATACCTAATATTGGTATGTTGTATGTTATGTTCAAAGGGTTTTGATATCAATAAATCTACTTATGATCTAGTATGATATTTGTATTACAATGATTACAAAAATAAATTATCAAAACAAATTTATCAATTTCACCCACGATTTTTCATTTATAGGCACGTGGGATAATCATCTTGATTTAATAGGTATGTTAAGTATTCAAATACATAAATTAATAAATTATACTAATAATAATAATCCATCTATTTAAGAAGACGTCGTACCCGCATGATTATGTTATCTCCGTCTTACTAACTCATAACACAGATAGAAGAATCCATTCTACTATTCTACTATATGTTATTTTAATATTAGAGTGAACTGATTAATTATTAAATTTGAAGGTATGAACATTATTCAGGCTTGCACTTCGGCTTTTTTGATATTTTGAAGCATTGAATTATGCTCATTTTAAAATTGTACCTATGTATTAAAATAATAGAGTTTAATGGATTCTGTTAAAATTTGCCATGTGCGTTGGAAAGACGAAGCCAATATAAGCGGCGGACACAACGTCACAACTTATATTCTTAAAAAGTGCGATCATATGCCTTTAACAAGACGTAATAAATATCTATCTAATTTATTAGCAACTTTCTACATCAGAAATCTGAATTGCTAACACGAATTATATAATCTTTCTTACATCCCACTTTTTGTAATTTTGAACTATTATTTTTATTTTCATTATTCTGCAAGTTTTAATTATAATTTTATTCACTTAATTATTTATGCCATTATTTATACATTTATTTTAATACAATATTTAAATGTTAATTTATTTTCAAATATGTTGACAACTGTTAAGTTCAATAAAAGAAATTTTAAAAAAAAATCTAATATTTGTTGATGCAAATTCATAGGCGGAGCTACGGGTGTGTCAAGTATGAGTCTGGGCACACCCTAAACGCTAAAAAATAAACAAAAAATACATAAATATGACGCACGCTCACATGCGTATATTATAGTAATATTTGTAATTACCTACTAATTAGTAAAAATAGTAAAATACAATACCTATAGCTGACTGTATAATTTTGATTGAGCGGAGGAGGAAATTAAAGGTTTAGTTGAAGCTAAATTCTCCTCACTTGCAATGCATTAACAGTAAATACAATATAATATATATCAAACATAGATGTATTTAACCTATATTTGTAGAAAATTAAAATAGGTTGTTATTAAGTACTTAGCTTGGGTAGTTAATTTGTTGGCACTATTAATAGATGTAAATAAGGATCTTTGTATAAAACTATATACCTATACACTTATATACCTACTATAATAATTATTATTACAAATAGGTATAAATGCTATAATAGTTTATTGCTTTTAGTACTATGAAGAAGAAAAATGTTAAGAGAATTTGAGGGTAGGTGGATGAATTTTGATACCCAAATAATCTACTTTCAGGTAGTAGGTACTCTAGTACTCTAATAGTACCTACCCAAATATAAGTGTTCAGATGGTTTAAAACAATAACCACCTATCTAACCTATTATTTGTGAGATTTGAATTATTATTGTCCGAAACATGAGTAGACACTTTCGTTTTATGAATAAAAAGTGAATTCAAAAGGATGTATAATGCTGATTCGATAATAATATCATGTTAGCCGAATAAGTGAAATGAGAACAATGAAATAAATAATGATATAGCCATATAGGTTATATATAGGTATATAGGTATATTATGATATATATAACGAAGAACGATACCATTATATCTTCCTGTCATCTCTAGTCAATTGTTCGGTTAACAAATTCATAGATCATCATATGTGATACGATGCCGAATACAATGAATGCGAAATTCTTACTAATAAATCAAATGTACAGACATATTTGAATCCGGCATTTATACAAGAGATGGTTGGGGTTCAACCCCCCCCAAAAAATGTTTTAACATAGTCATGGAAGATTTTAACTTTAATTACATATTTTTACTATGGCTATATTTATAATTTATTACATATGACTATATGAGTAGGTATATACAATTTTTTTTTACAATATGTATTTTAGATTAACAATAAAACTGTTTGAGTTTTTATTTATGACCGCCCCCCCTCCCTGTTTTGTTTTCTGTATACATATATGCCACATTTGAACGTATAATAAAACACACTTAATATAGACATTAAAATACAAATCATATTATTCCCCAACAAATGTACTTACTAACCTAATTATTATACTCAAATACAAAGTTTTATTCGGTTTTGTGCTGTTATTTTATACACATGAACTTAATTGTAAATCTGCGTATAACTATATTATGTGAACAGTGGATGTTATGGATAATTGCAGATAATAACTCAATAAATGCCGCATAGGTTTTTTCAAACTTATATCTGAAACAAAATTCAAAATAATATTTATTAATTATTAGTTATCAGGGAACTATATTTTAATTTACCTACTTTGAAATTAAAGCCTGTATTTATGATTTTTTTCTGGTAATGAATCATTTTAATAAAATGCGTTTATGGTTTATAAATTATGTATCATATTATTTATTATAAAGTTTGAATTTACATAAACGTCAAGACAGATATATAATGGTATTATATGGTATGATTATACCAATATAGCCTACCTATTATAGTTTATTATATCATTTTCGACGTAAAAATTATAAAACTACAATAAGTATAACGATTAGAGTTAAATGTCATTCGTCTCCTAAGTTTGAAATAAAGCCAAGACATTTTTTTAATTTGT